ATATATATGGTACCCCCCCCCTCATGTATCTACCGTTTGTCTATACAGTACATATCCACTTAGGAATCACAGTGTTACCATCACACAGACCAACATGATGCCAACACAGACAAACAGTAGATACATGAGGGGGGGTAGCATATATATATATATATATATACATTTCTTTATTTATCGAGAGGGAGAGAGAGAGAGCGAGAACGAGTCTGATGCATTTATGAATAATAGTCGCATTCCCATGTAGTTCATATATACCTCCAGTATTCTTATATACTGCAAAGCCCCAAAACCTTAATCTGATTTGGGCGGCGCTTAGATCAAGCTGGTCACGGGTTCTGCTGGGGCCTGTGTTGGGGTTTTCGGGCTCAGGGAGCTCAGGGCGCAGGATGGCTTTCTGGAAGGTCCCGGAGAATCAATCTTAATTGGGGCTCGTGGGACGTGACAGCCCTAGCTCAACACGACATCTGCAAGTGAGTAGAGACGAAATGAAGTGGCATTGCCACGAAGTGAGTGCAGCTTGCCTGGTTGTGGTGTGGACCGCTGATCCTGCGTCATCACCCCGGTAGGCAGTAAGCGCCATAACTTTGACACAGCCGCAACAGCAGCAGTTGCAATCCTCGGCCACTTATTTATATCATGTATATGCCTGAATTTGGGTCGTCATAGACCATGTCTACCTTAGTTGTTCTTGAAGGACTGCACTGCACATGTCAAAATATGTTGTTCTTGAAGGGCTGCACGCCGGACGTGTCGGGCTACGGCAATCCGGATGTCCCTTGGCTGCGTTCAGGGCTGTTTGGATGTTTGGTCCCGGGCTTGTCGCAGGGCTGAGATCTGTCAAGTAGAGAATAGCTTTGCGTTCTCCATCGCGTTGGTGTGTTCTTCATTCTGTACGAGCTGGTTGTGCATGGCAGCTGTACTGCAGTAGCATCTTGATTGCTTGTTCTGCCTTGAGACTTTGAGACTCCAGCCCGATGAGCCAAGGTTTATCGTGACTGGCGGCACCCTGGCCCTGGCGCAAAAGATTACATTGAGGTTCCACCAAGAGGGGTCGAACACAATTGTTGGGGTTTGTGCATAGTCGTTTGCTCGTCTAAGATATAATTTACCCTCACGCTACATCCCTTTTCTTGCCCTGGTGTCAGCCTAGTTTCTCAGCGTCAAGGCCACATTCCCGACACCAATTTGGCCAACACATGCTGGCGTGCCCAACATGTCATCTGAAATTGCGATTCTCGCAGAGCATCCTGTGCCCTATGCGTTCCTGTTGACAACGACAACCATAATTTGCGCGAGTCATCCCAGGAAGTGGTATGTCGACTCACACGACAATCCCGGAGAGCACGGCCGCAACGGGGGCATCCCCGAGTCGTCGGCAAAGAATACCCAGGAGTGGTACCCTTGCAGGGTTTAGGGGTCTCCGGTCGAGGGTTGGGGTTTTCGGATTTGGGACAGGGGTCTTATTTTAGTCTATACATGTTTGAGTCCGTGCCCGACAAACTGAAGCAGGTTTTGGCTGAGATATTTGAAGGGATTGGAATGTGGGATGGATGATGCTCTACCTCCCCTTCGTGACTTGAAGCTCCCCAGCCCTGCTGGTTTGGCCGTAGTGCCTGGAAGTCAGACAGTCACAGAGGCCCTGCTTCCTAGAGCTACGGGCCGGCTTTTGCAGCGAGCTCTGGCAGGCTCCATCCGGCTATCCCACAGCATGAGCGAGCCCCCTATGTCCAATGGGATGCAGGCGGAGCTGTGAGTTTGGGGAGAGCTGCCCACACTGTACAGTGCTGCCGATTCAGGTAGCAAGCAATAACATACGTGCAACTGTAGACCTCTGCGAAAATATTTTGCTTATTGAGAATCTCCGGAATAGAAGTAGCATTAGTCTAGATACTGTTGTGGCCAGCGTGGTTTCATGTGGATTCTATTGTTTCAATAATGACCATTGAAGGTTTAAGCCGAAGCAAGGTAGAAGCAGTCCCGCCGCAGCGACAGGCCTGCAGCCAGATCTTCCATCGCTCAGGACCGAGCCACCCTTAGCACGTTTCACCCTTGAGCCGAAGAGGCAGCGGAAGAAGTGAGCCCCAAACTCGACAAACTATAAAATTTAGAGAACTGCATCCCGGACCCTTAAACCTCAAGTGTGGTGCAGTCAGCGCACCCACAGCTGCGCCTGTGCCAATGCTTTGAGACTGGCTGCGTGTTTTCTCTCAGGTTCAGGCTTTGAGGCCGCGGTTAACACTTCAGGGTTGAAGCATTGCAAGGTGTAGAGGAGTTCCCCGTTTCTATAGACTCTGCTTGAGGGGGTAGAAAGCTGCACCCTGACTCTTGGCCCCTAACTCCTCCAGCACGGCTTAGGGTCCAGAGTTTAGGGCCGTTTGATCCGCCGAGAACCTGATCTAGGGTTTAGGGTTTAGGGTTTAGGGTTTAGGGTTCAATGCACATTGCAGGCAGAGCCAGACTTGGTGCCTTGCCAAGCCCGGAAGGAGGCTTGGCCTCTCGCAGACTCTAGCAGGCTAGAGCCCTAAGGCACGTGTCACTTCGTGGCGCAGGGCTAAGTGGACAAAAAGATCGTGCATGCCTCATTTCCCCTAGACCCGAAACCCCAAAGCGTAAACCTCTCCCACTGTTTAGATTCAGCACCCGGCTCACCCCTCGCCCTTTCCCAAGGTCTTTGGTCCTGTTTGTCTACGCCTCCCTCTGAACTCTGAACTTAGGGCTTAAAGTTTAGGGAGAATTCAGGGTTTAGAGATGCAAAGGGTTTAGGGACTCACGGTAGCATGGACATCGCTGCAATGTGCAATGGTTACCCCGTACAGCCCTCATGCAGCGCAGTATACTCCACCCCAAGACCACATTTTGATTTGATTAGGGCTCGTATATTACATCCAAAACTACCCAAAGAGGTCAAACTATGTTTCGTTTATAGACTCCCGACGGCAAAATGGGCATGTTCATACAGCTGCACAGAACTTATATACACTTGGGGTCGTGGTAGATTTCTGGACACTCGGCCAAGGCTTCTGCCGACAACAGGCTGCTTGAATGCCGCACTCCACTCGGCATATGCTTGTTTATTCTGAGACGGGCGAGTTTGGCAGGGGGGGTCTAAGAGCGATTTGTGGCACGACTTAAAGTCCCTTTTGTTGGTGGGAAGCAACTCCCCACCCCTGCTTCCCTCATTGTACAGATGAGTGCTCTCTGCCATTTCCCACCCATGGGGCATCTTGGTTAAGGTGCGGGCACAGGAAGTCGAGCATGCGATATGGAGGAGGATCTTCGACGATGTAGCAGGATTTTTTAGATGCTCTCAGTGCTTCGATCAGGTTCCAAATCCCGGAACGAAACGAAGCGTCGCTGACCTGAGGCCATAACGTCCTGCGTGCGGGGGACCTAGAGAATTTGGAAGGAAGCTGGAGGGAAGGCTCCTCAGAGCAGTAGTGCGAATTCTTGTCGCACTTGGTGGATTCAGTGGGAGGTAGAAATTCGTAGATTCGTAGATACATAGACAGCTGCAGTAGCGTGTGCCGAACGTCAGTGGGAGGTCAACCCTAAATTCCGTCGACATGCTCCACCCTGCTTTCACAACTTCGTGCCATCAGTGCATGCCCTAGAACACGCACCGACAGACGCTGGGACGGCTGGTGTTCCCGAATGAGTCGGAGAGCTAGCAGTGAAGTGATACTGAGGCGCTCTGCAGACTGGGAGCACGGCCTTCGGTGGGGGCCCCTATGTGGATACGACCTTGCAGCTGCCCCGAGTACATCGCAATCTCGATACCTCGATGCCCAGAGGCTTCCTTAGACACCTAAAGCAGCCAGCTGTTGGAGAGCTTGACGGTATTATAAACTGGGTAGCATCATTAGCATCATTATCCCCGTCATGTCCCTCACAAAACCTAAAAGTAGTACGACATAAGGCCCCATGTCAGTGTGCGTTTGCTTGTTTACCAGGGGCCTGTTACCTGTTACCACTTGAAGAGCGCCGCGCCTTGTTGCTTCATACCTCGACTAGGTTCCATGCTGGTTGATAGCTTCATGTCTCTCGACAAACTCCAAGCATGAGCGAACACTGCGGTGCATGCTTCCCAACAGCAACTTTCAAGAGCAGCTTGCGCAGGATATGAACCTTCGAAGATGAGAATCCCTGCCTTTCGTGATCCCATCCTCCCCCAGTACCTGCGCGAAGCTGCTCCATGACCTGCACGAGTCAGAATCCTCAGCACCTGAATTTGCGGAATCCGAAAGTACGAAACTAAACTTGCTCAAACCTACTGTAGTACCCCACATCCTGTAAGTCCTAAACTCTAACTTCTAAATCCCATAAGCCCTATAAACCGTAGGTATTCGGCAGACACCGAGGCTCTTAGTCTCCATGTCATCCCTCAAGGCCATTCGGAGAAATGAAGGGGGAGACTCCCAGCATGATGGGAATTTTGGGGTTTGGGGGATGGTCTATTTTGGCTTTCGGCTGTCATTTGTGGCTTAATGTGTAGGTTCTACTGTAGCCTGAGACCACTTGTGAGTGTGTTGTTTTGGGTTGCAGGTGTGAGAAGCGCACTGCAAGTGCAGTAGGCCTCTCATACAAGGGCCTGCAAAACGTAGCAGTCGTGACCTGCAATACTCCATGACTGACTGGTCTTGGCAGAGCGTGAGGTTAAGTTCTTCATTGATTTCATGTAGTTGTCCGGGTTTGTCCGCTGGAAAATGCGCCCTGTGCGGCAGGACGGGTACTGCTCCCTGTCCTGAGTGTTCAACACCGAATCCTACCGGGCCCCACCAGTCCTACCTTCGTGGAGGCGGATTTCAACATCGTGTCCTTCAATGCTGCCATTGCAGGCATCGGATCCGGATCACGGGTAGCGAGGCTTGGATCAAGCTGCACTGCCGTCTTGTGATTATTGTTTTTCCATGTGTTCTTCCGTTATCGTCGTGATACCTTTGGCTTTTTGACGGCTTGGACGATAGGTCTTCAAGGCGTCGAACACAAACGGTGGCGCTGGTCATAGTCTTGGTTCGTTGCTTCAGCGCCGCCACCGCTCTTGTTCTCGAACATTCAGGCGTGCCGTCGACATGGTTCATCAAAAACACACTAACTCAAGAGATGGCTGCATATCTTTTTCTGAATTTGAGAGGATGCGAGCGCGGCAGCAGCTGGGAGCTTGCCATGGCCCTGCTGCAGGAGGCTACCTGGACTTGTGGGATTTCCCTCGAAACTCAGCCGGATGGTAAAGTATGCAGTGTTGGTGTTGTTGCTGTTGCTGTTGCTGCTG